CGCACGATCCGCTGCATGGGACATCACCCTTACTCCTACATACTGAACGCGGAAACAGCTGTAAACTTATTGGCTGCTGCATTACGTTTTGCCACGCGGTAAGGGCCTGAGCACAATAGAGGAACAAGAATTAAATATTAAAATTTCAACCTATCAGAAACTATGTATTCCGATGTAATCAGTTTCTGATAGGTTGAAATATTAATATCTAATTCCTGTTCCTCTATTGTGCTCAGGCCCTTACCGCGTGGCAAAACGTAAGGCGTCGTCTACAATACACGGAGTAAGAAGTAAGAGTAAGAAATTGACCAATCACAGTCGAATGTGAGAAGAATAATCGACTGTGATTGGTCAATTTCTTACTCTTACTTCTTACTCCGTGTATTGTAGACGGGCCTTAATGCAGCAGCCAATAAGTTTACAGCTCCTGATATGTTCATTGGTTACCGCGTCGCATTTTGCCGCGTGGAAATGCTAGATTCACACTGCGTCGTACGATGCAAATCGGATGCAGTGTGAATCCAGCACATATTTACTCCCGGGAGGATAAAAAAAAGGAATAAATTCTAATTTCTATATGTAATATTTGATAATTTGTGCGTTGAAAATTTACAAGATTTAGGCGCTATGTTCCAAAATTGACTGTCTGAAAATTTTTGGCGCACGCGACATATAAACTGTAACATTTTCAGCATAGGCAGTAAATTTGGAATATAACCTTAATAAATTCAATACAGTAGTAAGGTTAGACCTTAAAGATGGTTACGGAAGCTAGTAAACAGAAAGCGAATAATTTTAAAAGTAAGTCATTGTTGCATACATTAAAAATACACATATCCTGAATTATGTTTGAACGAAATTATTTTGACTTATAGCGTTATGGGTTCGCTTCGACGCGGACAGTTCTGACAAACACCAGCTATTTTTCAAGGAACATTCCATAAGAAATCAGGAACCGGAATATCCCAGGAACCGAACTCTCTTTGTGTTGAACGTACCGCCATATGCTACCATTGATTGCCTGAGCAATGAATTTGCTAATCTGTGTGGAAATGTACAGTCTGTTACATTTTCAAATACAAAAGGATTCAAAACCGCATATATTGTTTTTAAGAAGGAATCCTCCTTAGATAAAGCTATGGAACTTTCAAAAGATTTCGTAATTACATTGAAAAGTGAGAAAAATATTTGCCTCACAGGATTAGAAAGTAAGTTATTTATCTCTCGCAATCTGTAGGTTTGTTTTTTGTAGTTGAACTAGTGTATATTTTTCGAACTTAAAGTGAAATAGATGAAATATTCGATATTTGACAAAAGCAAGAAAGAAAATTTAATAGAGTTTTAACACAGGAATAGAAAACAAACTTTATATGTCACTTGAGGTTTGTTTTTTATTTTTCACTAGACTGCAAGAAAATTTTCTTTTTTGCTTTCGCCAAATATCAAATATATACTTATTTTATCCAAAAGTTTACACTAGTTGAGTGATAGAAAACCAATCTTAGAGCAATATTCATATTCAGATCTTATATTCAGGATCATCTTAATTACAGTCTTAAGATGTCATGAACCAATCAGACAGCACTGTTTATTATCTTAAAATTATTAGTATCTTAAAATATTACTTAAGACGGTTTTGAAATAAGAACAGACTATGAATACCGTCCTGTTCTTTTCAACTGAATTTCTTACATTGTTTATTTTCCTACTTTTTTTTCTCCACTTGGAAAGAAATTAAGAGAAGACGAACGATGTAAGAAGTTTAGCTGCAAAAAATGGATCTTATTATTTTTCAACTTGTTTTTTGTTTAAACAGAATGGTGTAAAGAATATAATGATACTTTGTACGATGAGCAATTAATGAAGGAAGACATTGAGAAATATATAGCTTCGTATGACGAACAAATACAGGACCGTATCACACAAGAGAAAGCTGCAGAGGAGGACAACGATGGCTGGGTAACTGTAACAGGTGGAAAGAAAAGAGGACAATTTGCTCCATCCAGGAAGGAATCTACCATCAGCAAGGTGCAACAGAAAGAGGAACAACGGAAGAAGAAGAAACAATTACTTAATTTCTATACTTTCCAAATTCGTGAAACAAAAAAGCAGAGTAAATATAATTATTCATTATAAGATTTATAGTACAATTCTTTTTAGAATTGTTTAATTTGTGTGATTTTTCTTTCAGATTTAGCGGAATTACGAAAGAAGTTTGAACTGGACAAAAAAAGATTGCAGGAATTGAAACATAAACGAACATTTAAGCCATTTTAGGTGTTATGTGTTAAATGTTGTAAATAATATTAGGATATAATTGTAAGATTCAAATCAATTGCGTTTTGTCAGAATCGTTATATTTTTTTAATAAAACAAATATACAATTGTCTAATGATTATATTTTTATGTACAAACAATAATTATTTAGAATATCACGATCAAAATAAACTACATTATCGTCATTATTGTCACCACCGTCATCATTATATTAGATTGATGCAAAAATATTGTCGGTTTTTATTGTTTTAAACTTTGATCCTTTATATTCTATAATATTATGTTTAATTATGTTCATTGTTGCATCATTTCAAGTGTTAATTCCACTCTGTTAATTGTGTTAGTAATTTTGTTCTCGGTGTTAATTTTGAGATCAATTATTATCATTATTAAATATGAAAAAGAAGCAATTCCGAGCAATTTTTTTAGACAAGTCTAAACTAGATTTAAAAGCAGCGAATGAGAGCTTTGAAAATGAAGAGCTGGGGACAACCTCCAGCTATTGACAACGACTTGAAGATAATTCAAATGGATCTATTAAAAAACTATTGGAGAATAACTAATTAATCAACAGTTGTTCGTCATTTGAACCAAATCGGAAAAGTAAAAGCTTAATATTATTTTTGCATCAACCTAATAGTTATTCTCATCTCAAGCTGCTTTAGTAGCATAAGTTTGTAATGTCCATTCTATCAAAAAATGCTGATACGATAATGGTTGTAGAAGAGCTAATAGTTCCTCTGAAACAAACATTAAATTTTTATTTATTGTATAATATATTATAAACTAGTATTATATACTATTTATTACTATTTACCATATAGTATATAATCGCGATTTATATATATATATATATATATATATTGTTTCCATAAATGCAGTTCGCAGACATGGCCGCGCTGACTGCTTGCGCGAGTCGTTCCATAGCTAGGTCACGCAAGACGGTGTCGACGTTCGGCCGATTCTGCAGATTCGTTGTCAATAAACGAGTAGTAGAGGCCAAATGTTGCGCCGAAATCGCGTGCTTGTTGCTACCACTGTTATTCAATCGTAGCACCGAGTCCATGAGTAACTGTTGAACTTTTGAATAAAATTTTCGCGACTTTTCTTGAGCCTCTGTGTTGTTCATAGTGTCACGCAGAGGACTCAATATACACCATCTGTAGATAGAAAAAAGAATAATTCAACACATTAAACACTTTTGTTTGTTTCACTTTTGCGTGAAGTTATGGTGCAGGAAATGACCTGAATAGGCCTGCTATAGGTGTTATCGGAGTCATCGGGATTCCACCAGTAGGCAATGCCGGATTGTCCATTAGAGGCGTCAGCAATAAACTCGGGTTTTCATCAATCCATTCGCCTACCAATCTGAGCAGTTCGGTAGATGGATCTTTGTCCTCGTAAACTTCACCTATCGCCGTCAGCAGGTTGGCAGTGAAATGCGGAGTGAGCACTGGCAGCTGCTTCAGCTTGTCGATGGATCTTGGAGTAAGCACGAAATAATCATTGAGCACGTGCCTTGCCAGTCCTACGCTCTGCGGCGAGGTGGAGCCCAACTGCTGCATCCAAATACCAGCTGCATTTAGGACTGCCTTGTTTTGTGTAGCGATTGCCAATGATACCAGGTTACCTAGAATCTTGTATCTGGGACTGTCTGCTGGAAAGAGCGACAAGAAGAGAGCATTGCGTACCGCAGGACTGCCACCTGGACTCTGGAAAAAGTCGCTCATGATCTCTATCAGCTGCAGCTCCTGTATTGCCTGTGTCGTACTGCGTTTCTTTCGCTTCTCTATCTCTCCGAATACAAACTCTGATATTAAGTCCATTTGCAGGTCCACTTGCTTGCCAGGTCTGCAGCAAAGTACCTCTTGAATAAATAACAAATAAAATTTAATGTGATTGAGGAAAGAGAAAAAATTTTAATATTAAAATATAAGATGACAAAAAAAAGGTTTGACCATAAAGTTTGTATGTTTATCAAATCATTATCAAAGCAGCAAATTAACGCTAAAATGATATTGAAATCTGCATTTTGATGTCAAATAACGTCAACCTGCTATCTGGATAGTCGATTAAAAAAAAAACTCTGAAGTATGTATGCATTAATTACATCTTATTAAATACCAAAAAGACCAAAAAATTTTTACTGATTAGAAAACTAAATATTACTTTATTGACTGTATGGGATAATTTATTGATGCAACCATCATTGATGCATTTCTAGAACACTTTATATCAAAATTAAAGGTGATCATTTTAGATGTTAATTATTATTTTTGATATTTAATAAAACGTAATAACACTCTAGAATTTGTTTTAGAAATAAACATTACTAATAATTTGATAAACAAAACTTTTTGACCAAATTTTTAGATCCCCTATAATAACGTAGATCTGATATTTTAACTGTACAATGTTAAACTATTGAAATATAGATTTATACAAATTTTATCTTTGATGAACATAGAGCACAGTTAAAATAAACAGACCACAGCGGCGTCGAGATAACCTATACAGTTCGTACCGATTCTACATAGAGCTTCCCTGGCGCAGTAAGGGAAGTCCAGCTTTCGGAGAGCTTGCTTTACGTCGCTCCCGGACATCGTAACGTGGACGCAATCACCGTACCGATTACAGTGATTACCGCGAAGGAAACCGTTGAACTTTGATCGTCGAGCGTTTGACAGCGATCATGTGCACGCGCCTGTATGCATGCCTATGTGTATACACACGCATGTTAGGTGCTCGGAAACCGAAGTGGCGGTGGCGTGGCGGCGGTGGCGCGCACGCCGGTGAACCATCGCCGCGCAGTGGCGCCACCAGCGAGTAGGTTGCGAAGCGCATTATTAGTCAAAACAATCCGCCGAATTGGTGATCTATTTTTAGGTCGCGCCCACCGTAGCCCACGGTGCTACGCCGTTTTTCCCCGGGAGGCCCCGGAAAAAAAGTTGGCGCGGCCGGTGCCCTTCCGCGACGCCGTCTCGTACTCGCGGATAAGGTTCAACGACCCCCCCACTACCATCGCGGATTGTGACAGGCCAGGGAGCCGTGCGGCCGTGCGCGGGCCGGCCATGTTTATACCGTGGGGAGAAATTTTCGAGCCGTGCGCCGAGCGTGCCAGCCGCCGTGAACCACGAGCGGGACTATCTCCACGTGCGCCGTGGAAAGCGCGAGTTCCTCGGCCGCGCGTACAACCCGTGCCCCAGGAAGGTCCCCCCTCGCAGCCCCCAGCAGCGCAGGGTCCGCGGAATCGACGATGGAGTCCTCCGACAGGGGTAAGTCCGCGTGAGGATAATGCCGAACGCGTGGGATACTGCGGCAATATTGTGGCATCTGACAAACGGATCGTGCGACGCCCCCGGGGGGGCAATGGCAGTGTCAGGGTCGAAACGGAACTAGTTCAGTGACCGCATTCGCCGCCGGGGGGCTGGCCGCGCATTCGACGTTTCTTCACGCCCGGTCAACGGACGTTGTCTACCCGCCGGTTGACGGCCGACCCGGCCGTCGAGACTCGAGGTCGCGACGGTCCGTCCGTCGACCGCTTCGCCTCTCCGGCGAAAATCGCCGTCGCTCGATCGAATCTATGTCACGCCGCGCGCTTTTGGCCGCGACTGTACCAGCGCGTCGTCCTCCTTCTCTTTCTCCTCCTCTGCCTCTTTCCTTCCTCTCTTTCTCTCTATCTCTCTCTCGCTCCACGCCTCCCCCGCGTTCTCACCGTCTCGCTCTCGCTCTCGCTCCTCGGACGAGGACGGGAAGAAAGAAAGAGAGAGAGAGGACAGTATGCGCGCGCGTTACGCCTCCAGGGCATCATCCTGCGGATCGCTCACGGGCACGTGGTGGAACCATCGCCGCCGGAGTCCGAACGAAGAAATCTGAGACGGCGATCCGCCCGCGCGGATCCCTCCGTCGTCGGTCTCTCCGGTCTCTCCTCGACCGAGAAAGCGACACGGCGACGTTTTCCCCACGCGCGCGCCTCGGCGAACCCGTAATCTCGTGAGAGTGCGACTGGCACCGGGCGTTCCGCGTTGCGCAACGCCGCGGCCGTAACTGCGTGTCTTTAACCTACATCGAGACGGCCCGGCGCGGCGCGGAGGGTACACGGGTACACCACGCGCGGCGAATCGGAGTCACGGTGTCGTTTGACAACGGCGCGCACGGGCCGCACACACGTGAGAATTATTATCGCCTGACCGAGCCCCCCCCTCCCCTCCTCTCTCTCTCTCTCTCTCTCTCGCATCCCTTCCTCGTCGCACCTCTCGATGCCTCTCGACTCCACCGTCGCCTCGCTTCGCCTCGCCCCGTCACGCCGCGTCGCTTCGCGTCGCGACGTGGCGACACCTGCCGTCCGCTCGTGCGCGCCCTACCTCAAGCCACCGCGAATTAACCCTCCCGTCGTCGCCGTTCAACCCTCCCCCGGGGCGCACCGCAGTCCCTTCGATCATGAATCGAAGCGGGGAAAATTTTGTCGACCTCGATGCGACAACCTGTCGTGGGGAAAAACGACCGCAAGGTTAAAACTTTTGTAACCCGCCTTTGCTTTGGGTACTTTGAAATCCCCCTCTGCGTATGATTGAGTGGATTAAGAGGCAGGTTACTGTGAATTCTTATTTATTCTGCGTTTGAATAATGTATTACTATTATTATTGCGAAGCAAAGTATTTCGGAAATTTAATCGAACTTATCATCATTTTTTTCATTGAAAGGAACTGTAGAATTCAAGGTAAATCGAACTAAAAAATAAAGCTGTTTAGAGAAACAAAACTGATAAATTAAGATAAATTCATGTTGTAGATTGTTCTCTAATGTCTGTATTCATAGTCAGGCCTTACATTTAAGGCTTCCTTAAATTTATCTTTAGATGCTCAGTAGCCAATAAAATAATTCGTCGAACATCTAAAGATAATATTTGAGGAAGAGCTTTAAATATAAGGCCTGACTATGAATACGGGTATAAATTTTTATTTGTTTTATGTTTGGATATTACTATTACGAGCTGAATTATGTTTTGGAAGTTTTGTCAGAAATCGTCAGATTATTTTTCATGAAATATAAATAAAGGAACTTGTAGAATTCAAAGTAAATTGCTACTACAAGATAAAATTGGTTGGTCAAACGAAACCATGTTTTGATCGATCCGTTTGAGGGCAAACGTGGAGTCAACTGAACAATTTACAGAGTTAACCTGATATTTCGGTGATTTAACAATCGACGATTATTAGCGCAGTTGACTGTCGAATTAAACGACTCGTTCGACGAGTTTGATATCTCGTTACGCGAAATTGATCACCAGTCAATCCGAGCCATTTTATCGCGACACATTTGCGTCGTACTTTATACGATTGATCTATTATGCCATCCGATTATACATCTCGCACACACATTGCTCAAATTGTTCATTAATCCCGTTAATTCACGTCGGCCGTTTCAGCGCGACGAGTTTACAGAACGTCATACAGATTCATACGT